GCTTCCTTAGGATGGCACCGTTACTGCTCTTCAAGCTTTTTCTGCTTTCCAACTTCTCGTACAAGGCGTCCATCTCCGTTTTCTTTGCTTTCGCTGCGGCAGCCTTAGCGAGTAAAATAGGATTCCGACACTGTACTCGAGGTACTTTCTCGACTGCCACGCGTATGAACAGAGCACACCGATCCACGAACGTTTTATCTCAAACTTGGGTAATTAAACGATTGCCAACAAGAACGATGTTAATTTACAACATAACATAACGAGTAACAACGAATAACAACGTATATCAACAGCGAAATGTCCTAAAGTTAACCTATGAAATTTTTCTTCCCGTTCTTTTCTCTGAACGCGTCCTAAACCTATTGACTGTCAGCGCGGAAGCAATCTGAACACTTAAACTCGTGATACTTGAAAACAATAAGCGTTAAATCAATGGCGGCGCACTACCCGTACGGCGCATAACGACGATCCCCTCGTGTTCCGGACTTCTACCGAAAAAGAGGTCGCGCACTTTCTCATCCCATATTTTGAACATAGATCACGAACAACCTTGGAACACGATTTGAGAACAGATTTGCACTTATACAATTCCTACACCGGTCTGCCCATAGTCCTACATAATGCAGTTGAATCCATTGAATAGGCGGCTGGAGGAGGAAGGAAACACTAAAAGCGATGAGCAATATAGAAAGTAGCGTCTTGTGGCGCTGAACGATCCAGAACTCCTTGCGAACGTAAAGGCTTTACCGTCACATGAAACCTGGTTTCACACAATAAGAATCCACAAGTACTCAATTCCTTCCTATCACTAACTAATCTGGCGCAAACAAAGCCTTTACTGGAATATCGTCCTCCGGTCCGCGAGAGAATTTACTGCTCGGGTTCAAAGCATAAAGATGAAAGGATTTGCCGCTCAAAACAAACAAATTAAAAGAAATGATAGGCCGATTTGATTTTGGGGCTTGGGGTGTCGAGTCCCGCGCAAATGCAATTTCCATACAGGACCATCCCTGGCACGACACCCCAAGCCCTTTAAATGGCGCACTTGTCCTCTTTCGGTTGCATGGGCCGCAACCCAACTAGAAACTCGCGAACCGCGATATTCCGCCCCGAAAAAATGAGTGTTTTCAGGTAAATCACGAGTGTACTCGAATGCCTCGGCGCATAATGAAACTAACGAATCTAATGAATGTGGCGCTCTGCGCGCTGCAGGAAAGCTAACTTTTCAAGACATTCCCAACGGTTATTGCGCGCTTCCGTAAGCCTTTGCCATATATCCTCGCTGCGTCGGGAAGCTCGCAAACAGCGGAGTGGTGGCCGGGGAATCTGCAGTGATGACACGAAGCGTAGTATTTCGGACATGAATATCGGTCTCCTGAGCAATGCTTCTCCAAACATAATTGGCATCTCCTTTTTTCCATTAAAACTTGTCGACGTTCCCTCGCTAATCGTATAACAACACAGGAATCTGAGTAATGCATCCCGGTCGCTTCACAGAACGCACATCTCATAAACTTCTCTTCCTCACGGTATATCTCTCCTTCTTCGAAATTCCTTGGGGGGCATGTGGGCTCCCTTTCGAGCTGTCTGATGACCTCGTCGTATCTTCGTATAGCCGCTCGTACCAGTTCCGCCTCATCGAGGATGTTTTGTAGACGCTCTTCTCGCGCATTGCGTCTGCGGCCAGCCACCGGTTCTCGACGATAATCGACATCTTCTTGCAAATGTTCCTGCGGTACGGTTTTCCTCTTGATCTTCTTCCGGGTCTTCTCTAGGCTGAGCCTAGTTCCCGTCCGTCTTCGGTCAAGACTCCATAAGAAGCGTGTCGTTGAGGAGTTCTTCCTCCGTCGTTCCGGCACGTCTTCATCCCGTTGTCCCGCGACGTCTTCCTCCCGTCGCTCCGCGACGTCCTCCGCCGCCGCGTGAGCTGGATGTTGCGCGAAGATTGCTTCTCGAAGTTGCTGAATTGAAATGCGCATCTCGTTTTCAAAGGCTCGTTTCTCAACACTTTGTTCTTCCTGCAGTGACCAGCGTAGGTTTTTCAGCGTGCTTTCGAGGCGTTTGATGAGTTGTAGTTGAGTCGCTGGTTACGTTCTCGAATATCCTCGGGCTCCGTGATGAGCTGTTTATCTCCTCCTCCTTCGGCTAGAAGTGACATTAAGGATTCCCATTGTATCTTTGTTGTGCGTTTTGCGGCGATGAGGATGGGGGGAATGGCCATAAGGGTTCGCAATTGGTTCCTCGTCGCTACGACGCGCAGGCGCTGCTGTTCACATTTTAATTCGAAGATTTCTATCTTTTGAAATCGATCACTCAGAGTTAAATCTTTTTGCATACCCAAGTTTTGAATTTGGCGCTCTAACTCAGCGGCAGTCTCAATGCACTCAGCGAATTCAATACAATGAAACAAAAGATATCTATAGAGATCTTCTGCTTCTGGTAGAACAGATAATGACTGCAGAACTTCTTTTAATTGTAGCTGAATCTCGTGTGTAGCTCTCAAGTCGCTCATTTTTTTGAAATATGCATGTTTGCAATCTATCTTTAGGCCAATTTTGCGCACTTAGTCTTAATATTTATCTTGATTTTTTGGAATCTAGTACCCCCTTTTTCCCAACAAAAACTGAATGACAATGGCGCACTTTTGACTACTGCTTGTATAGTGCAAAACCAAACAAGTTAGTTAACCATGTTAGTAAAGAGTTTTTTTTTTCTCAACATCTTTCGAGTATTTTGTTCGAACACTTGGTGAAAAAATAAGCAAAAGTTGCGCAAATGTGGTTTTGTATGGATGACCCTTTTTCCAAATGAGTTCTACGATTGATTTTGCAAAGTGAGCCTGATTTGGAAACCGGTGTTTTATGCCAATTTTTCGTGCATGCGATGGCGCATTCATGTTTAGGTAGTATATCTTGCTAGCGACCTCATTGTTGTTGTTATAGTCCGGAAGGGAATCATGTTGCCAAGTGTAGATTGAGCTGTTAAGCAAGTCATGATATGAAATAGGAACCACTTCGCAGGGAGTCGTCGTGGGCTACTCGCAGTTGTAGTAGCTATTACTTCCTGAGCATAGTTTTTTGGTTTTCGGCGCCTCAAGTTATATGGATGGGTGTTTTCTCTCAGATCTTTTCCATTCTCTTCAGTTAGTTCACTTGGTGAGGGTGCTGCGCGTGAGGATTCATTGGTTTTAGCATTCCGTCTTGTTTCTTGGATCTCCAAAGGTATCACCAGATTAACTGGGCGGCGCATTCTCCTTTTCGTGTCGGTGACAAGTTCAACTTCCCTTATTTCGTCGTCGCTACCGCGTGTGATTCCTGTTATTCTACCCATTTTCCATTCGTTTCTTGGTAGGACAGGGTCGGTAACAAGGACAACATCGCCTATTTGTGGGATCTCTTTTCCCTAGGCGACGGTCTGTTGCGGTTCTTTTGTGTGTTTCTCGCAAGGAAAGTAAATATTGCTGTTGCCATATACTCCAAAAGCGGTTTGCAGCCTGATCGGATGATCGGAGCGCGTGTAACACCTGTTGTCGATTCTGGAGGTGATGCGCCTCAGTCGGGGGTAAATAATCAGGGTCAGACTCGTTTCCGTCAGCGTCCTCCGAATTGGGCAACATCAGTGTCATATTTCGCTGTATGAAGTCTATTGGCCGAACGGTGCTCGACGCTTCTTGCGCTTCCCCTTGATACGTAAGAGGCCGAGAGTTCAAACATGATTCCACTTCTACTATGAAAGTGTAAATGTCGTCCAGTGTTTTCCGTTTTGCGCCTCTAAGACTTTTGTATAGTGCATATTTGATCGATTTTATAAGGCGCTCATAGAACCCTCCTTGCCACGGCGCGTAAGGGGTGATGTGTTTCCATTCAATCTCCTTGTTTGCTATGTTCCGGAGGATATCTTCTGAGATGACTTTCGACTTATTTTCCAATATACTTGCGCTGAGCAAGAAAGTGGGGGCATTGTCGCAGGTAATGGAATTCGGGAGTCCTCTTCGCGCAATGAATCGACGAAGCGCATTCAGGAACTCTTCCGTTCCCATGCTTCTCACCACTTCCAGATGGACGAGGCGAGTCAGTTGTGCATGTGAATATGCAGCCATAAAGTTTGATAACTTTCTCGCCGTCTTTACAGTCGGGGAGGTCGAAAAAGTCAAGGCCTATGTGTTGAAATGGCCGACATTGTATGACTCTCCGGCTTGGTAGGTCCTTGGTTTCAGGGTAGTGGTAGGGTAGCGCATTGAATCTTCGGCATTTCACACAGCTGCCGATGTGTTTCCGCACTTGCTGGCGCAACTTTGGGAAATCCAGTATTGTTGGCGTACGCTTATTGTGTGTTCGATGCCACAATGATAATCCCCGTGTGCTTCCTGAATTATCAGTCTGGCTAACGGCGTGTTAGGGGCAATGAAGAGGGGGCTCTTTGCGTCGTCATCGAGCATGGCATTACCTAATCTTCCCTTCGATCTCCATAAGAGATTGTCGTCTTTATATAATCTCAGAGTATTCTCCATAGATTTCCTATAGCTCCGTGACAAATGTATGGATTGATGATTACGGATTAGAGCAATGCGCGCATCGCGAATTTCTCTTCCCAGTCAATGGTCTTGTGTTGTTTGATTCGACGTCCTGCTTCGATGCGCTTGCAACTGTTTCTTCCTTGTCGGGGCTGTTCGAGCGTTGTGTTATTTTCTTGATAAAGCGTAGAACCAATGCCGTAATTCTCTTCGCTTTAGTCAAAGAGTTATAGCGCTCCCAAGGAAGTAGATCGGTGACAGGGGAAGTTTCACTTCCAATCACATTAATGTTGCATTTCTCATCCATATCCTCCACTGATGCGCCTTCATCTGAAGCAAGGCTGTAGAATGTGTTGTACCAATATTTTTCCGGTTGCTTCAAGAATGGTGGTCCCGTCCACCACATATGATCTTTCAACTGCGACTTTGTGAGCCCTCGTGTTCCTGCGTCCGCAGGGATTCTCTGCTGTGTTCACATAGGCAAACTTCACGGTTGAGCCTAAGTCTTCCAATTGGCGAACAAAATTTGTTGGATTTCTCGCAATCTGTTCGAGACCAGTACTCCTAAGCCCTTACGTTTTGACGTCGAAAGCCAGCTAAGCGCGATTTGTGAATCGGAGAAGATGTATATTGTCAACGCTTCTCTCCAAGTACTTGTTTTCAAGGCTTTTGTAATAGAAAGGGCTAGTCGTGTTGCTAGGGTCAGTGCGTTCATCTCCAATTTTGGCATTGTAGTCTTGGTCTTAATTGATGGGAGTTTCCCTTTTCCCATGACCAGTGTTGAGGAGACTTCCGTAAAGAGGTAGGCGCAAGTTGCTATTGCAATTTCGCTCGCGTCCGCAAAGACTGCGAGATTTTGGCGTGATGAGTGATTCGCATAGCGCCTTGGAAATGTTTTTTGAAATCCATCCATGTTCTCAACGATGGAAGTCCATTGAGTGAAGGTTTGCTGCGGTAGTTTGATGTCCCACGAGTATCCTGCCTCCATAAATCCTGTTGAAATTTCTTCGCCGGCATCAACAGGGGGACGAGCCATCCCATGGGATCGAAAATGGAGGATATTTGGTGAGCCACTCGGCGTTTTGTGAGGGTATCTGAAGGCGGAATTGCACGATATGAGAAAGGTATCATCCCTTGAATTCCAAGTGATACCTAATATCTTCTGTGTAGTCGACTTTGCGGATGTTCCCTCGGGTAATGTTTGTTGCAAGAGAGGGTAGTTTGAAAGGAATTCCCTCAAGTTCATTTCCATTTGTGTGAAGATTTTGCGCGCTTCCAGTGACTTTGAGATTGCCTCCTTCTCGGTTTCCGCTAAAAGGACAAGGTTGTCTACGTACAAATTGTCTTGTATTTCCATTGCAAGTTCTTGTCTTCCACTTCGCACTTCAAGTGGTGCCTAATAGTGCCCACAATAAGTATAGAAAAATTTAAGTCGAACGTCTCGGGCTGTGAAGCGGAACACTCTGATGTTGTTGTCGTTCACCGGTTTCTCGAGATCTTTTATCCATAAAAACCTTGTCGCATCTCTGTCTTCCTCCTGCAAGCGCACTTGGAGAAAGGCCTTTTCAACATCTGCTGTAATGACGTATTTTGGAAGTCGGAAGCGCAACAGGATGCGTAGAGGTCTGGCAGTATAAGTGGCCCTTGGTGAAGTACATCGTTCAGTGAAGGGCTATCCCTAAAGTGTGCCGAGGCGTCGAACACGATGCGCAGTTTCGTTGTTTCCTTATGTGGGGTTAATACTGGCTGGTGGGGTATGTAGTGTAGTACCGACCATCTATGTGACTTGGATCTTCGATAGCTTCTATGATTCCCTTTTCTTGTTGTTCCTTGAAGGTCCTGTCGTATTCGTGTAGTAGTGAAGGGGACTTCTTGAGGGACTCTATGGTGAGCTAGAGGCGTTTGAGCGCAATTGCCTTGTTCGTCGGTAGTGGGGGGTGATTGTCCTTGTATGGCAGACGAACGTAGTAGCCATCCTTGCGCCTCTTTGAATTGTGTCCTTCGAAAGAACTTCTCCACTTGTTTATTGGTCGCCTTCCTTCTCAGCGTTCTTTGTGCCGTTGAACTCGCAAATCCCTGCTGAGTCCATTGTCCAGTACTTGTCCCATCTCTCTAAGTCCTCATCGAGATTGGTGAGGGTGTTTATCGAGATGGTTTCTATGTCGGTTGAGTTCACTTGAGTATGTCCTTGCAAATTGCTTTGTCGTCCTGTTAATAAGTATCCCAATTTGGACGGAATAAGGTGTAAGCCTGACGGCAACTGAAATCGTGGCTGAGGTGCGTCAAGAAGTGTCCATAGTTGGTCACATCACCACAAGGACCTGAGGTTTGGAGGTGCCTTTCCAATTTGCTTTCGATAACTGTATTTGGTTCTGCGCAATGAAGGCTATGTCCTCACCACTAAGCTGTGCCGTTTTGTATCCCGTTGTGACGATTGGTGTTGTGTAAAAGTGAAGTTCATGTTGA